TACCCCAAGATAACGATAATTCAAAAAGCCTCATGCATTCCAGTGTTTACTGCAGCGCTATTTACAATAGCCAGGACATGGAAGCAAACTAAATGTCTATCAACAGATGAATGAATAAAGAAGATGTGGTACATAAATACAATAGATTATTAGTCAGGCAAAAAAATTATGAAATTGGTCATTTGCAGAGATATGGATAGACCTAGAGTCTTCATACAGAGTGAAGTTAAGTCAGAAAAAGAAAGAGAAATATATATTAACGTGTATGCATGGGCCCGCGCACACACACACACACACACACACACATAACCTAGCAAAGCAGTATAGATGACCTTTTTGCAGGGCAGGAATAGAGACCCAGACATGTGGACACTGGGAGGGAAGGGGGGTGGGATGAATTGAGACATAGGAATTGACATATATAAATTGCTATGTATAATAAAAGATAGAAAGTGAGAACTAGTTATATAGCACAGGGAGCTCAGCTCAGTGCTCTGCGGTGACAGAATGTGTGGGATGGGGGCGGCGAGGAAGGGAGGTCCAAGAGGGAGGGAGTATATGTATGCACAGGGCTGATTCACTTCTTGTGATGCAGAGACTAACACAATGTTGGAAAGCAACTATTCCTCAATAAATAAATAAAATATACTTAGACTTTTATACATGTAATGCAACTAGCTCTTAAATATTATTGCAGAAATGAGCCAAAGGAAGTTTACACTAACATAACAGGAATAGGCAATCCCAAAGAATGCTCAAACCACTGCACAATTGCACTCATCTCACACACTAGTAAGGTAATGCTCAAAATTCTCCAAGCCAGGCTTCAGCAATATGTGAACCATGAACTTCCAGATGTTCAAGCTGGTTTTAGAAAAGGCAGAGGAACCAGAGATCCAATTGCCAACATCCTCTGGATCATCGAAAAAGCAAGCGAGTTCCAGAAAAACATCTGTTTCTGCTTTATTGACTACGCCAAAGCCTTCGACTGTGTGGATCACAATAAACTGTGGAGAATTCTGAAAGAGCTGGGAATACCATACCACCTGACCTGCCTCTTGAGAAACCTGTATGCAGGTCAGGAAGCAACAGTTAGAACTGGACATGGAACAACAGACTGGCTCCAAATAGGAAAAGGAATACGTCAAGCCTGTGTATTGTCACCCTGCTTATTTAACTTATATGCAGAGTACATTGTGAGAAACACTGGGCTTGAGGAAGCACAAGCTGGAATCAAGATTGCCAGAAGAAATATCAATAACCTCAGATGTGCAGATGACACCACCCTTACGGACAGAAAGTGAAGAAGAATTAAAGAGCCTCTTGATGAAAGTGAAAGAGGAGAGTGAAAAAGTTGGCTTAAAGCTTGACATTCAGAAAACTAAATCATGGCATCTGGTCCCATCACTTCATGGCAAATAGATGGGGAGACAGTGGACAAAGTGGCTGACTGTAATTTTTTGGCCTCCAAAATCACTGCAGATTGTGACGCAGCCATGACATTAAAAGACGCTTAGTCCTTGGAAGGAAAGTTATGACCAACCTAGACAGCATATTTAAAAGCAGAGACATTACTTTGCCAACAAAGTCTGTCTGGCCAAGGCTGTGGTTTTTCCAGTGGTCATGTATGGATGTGAGAGTTGGACTGTGAAGAAAGCTGAGTGCCGAAAAATTGATGCTTTTGAACTATGGTGTTGGAGAAGACTCTTGAGAGTCTCTTGCACTGCAAGGAGATCCAAACAGTCCATCCTAAAGGAGATCAGTCCTGGATGTTCATTGGACAGACTGATGCTGAAGCTGAAACTCCACTACTTTGGCCACCTCATGCGAAGAGTTGACTTGTTGGAAAAGACCTTGATGCTGGGAAAGATTGAGGGCAGGAGGAGAAGGGGACGACAGAGGATGAGATGGTTGGATGGCATCACTGACTCGATGGACATGAGTTTGAGTAAATTCCGGGAGTTGGTGATGGACAGGGAGGCCTGGCATGCTGCGATTCATGGGGTCGCACAGAGTTGGACATGACTGAGCGACTGAACTGAACAGGAATATCACAATTTGAGGGCTACAAATTGCAAAGTAAATCTAACATCTTTCAAAGAAAAGTGTGAAAGAGGCAGCATTATACAAGGATATAAGACTTGCCATGTAGATTGAACAACACCGTGGTCAACCAAATGGAAATAATCAAAGCAAAGATTACGATTTCAAGTCCTATGTTGGTAAGAAAAGTTCAAGGCTTTGGACTTCCCTAGTAGTCCAGGGGTAAAGAATCTGCCTGCCAATGAAGGGCATATGGGTTTGATCCCTGGCCAAGGAAGATGCCACATGCTGCAGAGCAACTAAGCCTGAGGGCCTCAACCACTGAGCGTGTACTTTAGAGCCCAAATGCCACAACACTGAAGGCCTCATGCCCTAAAGCTCGTGTACCACAAGAGAAGCCACCATAATGAGAAGCCCACACACCGCCACTAGAGAACAGCCCCTGCTTGCAGCAACTAGAGAAAGGCTGTGCACAGCAAACAAGGCCCAGCACAGCCAAAAATAAATGAATGAATAAAATTAAAGAAGAAAGGTTCAAACTTTAGTTCCCGCATGATGTCCAGCTGTTAGCTAGGGGTTGATAGGAAGAACATGGCCTTAACTCTAAATCTGATGCAAATCTTAAACTCACTAACATTTGGAGCCTGTCAGTTGCCTGTAGCCCTTGCAACAGAAGAGCATCTCCAGACATGCAAAGTGAGAACCATGATAGAAACAAAGGTCCAGTGTGAGTCTCTAAAACTCTTCTCTTCCAGACCAAATTATTAACCAGAAAAATACTACATCCATGGCGAAGAGCAGCGTTTAGTGCTCCATCAAAGACTTAAAAAATGCAAGGTGTTGGTTTTCTTGCAATTTTGATATCAGTCCTTTTGTACCAGTCTAACCTCTTCTTTATTTTGGGGGGCTCCAAAATCACTACAGTTGGTGACTGCAGCCATGAAATTAAAAAGTGCTTGCTCCTTGGAAGAAAAGCTATGACCAACCTAGACAGTATATTAAAAAGCAGAGACATTACTTTGCCAGCAAAGGTCCGTATAGTCAAAGCTATGGTTTTCCCAGTAGTCATGTATGGATGTGAGAGTTGGACTATAAAAAGAGCTGAGCCCTGAAAAATTGATGCTTTTGTAATGTGGTGTTGAAGGAAACTTGTGAGAGTCCCTTGGACTGCAAGGAGATCCAACCAATCAATCCTAAAGGAAATCATTCCTGAATATACATTGGAAGGACTGATGCTGAAGCTGAAACTCCAATACTTTGGCCACTTGATGTGAAGAACTGACTCATTGGAAAAGACAGGGATGCTGGGAAAGATTGAAGGCAGGAGGAGAAGGGGACGACAGAGGATGAGATGGTTGGATGGCATCAATGACAATGCATGAATTGTCTCCTTCTCCTGAATTTCTACTGAAAGAGCACTTTTTTTTCAGGTAATTATTTAATTCCTTGCTCTTTCAGTAGAAATTCAGGAGAAGGAGACAATTCAGAATTTGACTTGTGTGATATTAAGAAACAAGTCCCTTTATATGGACTTTCTCTTGTGATGATACAATGGATTCTAAAAATATCTGATAGAGTTGAGTTGCATTAGTGGCTGAACTGCCCCGAGACAGGAAAGGCTCCACCCTTTCACCAGAGCTCTAATCGCATCTACTGCCCTAACATGTAACTGCTGCTTGCTGTATTGTAAGAAACCGATACAGGAATGATGTTGTAACAGGCATTATCTATTATATATGCATGTGTGCGTGCTTTCTCAGTCCCTCAGCTGTGTCCGACTCCTTGCAACTCCATGGACTATATAATCCAGCCATAATCCTCTGTCCATGGGATTCTCTAGGCAAGAAGAGTGGAGTGGGTTGCCATTTCCTTTGCAGAGGATCTACTTGTCCCAGAGATGGAACCTGCATCTCCTACGTCTCCTGCTTTGGCAGGTGAATTCTTTATCACTGAGCCACCTAGGAAGCCCTAGCTATTAAATGTGAGAGATTTATCATTCCTCCCATTGTTAAAGTAGCAATTCAGTTTCATAACATAATAAACCTCAATATTGGATATCATTTCTGCTTGCATTTTCATGTAAATAAAGGTGTCCTTAAGCAAAAACAGAAGTTGCCTGGGATCTCAGCTTGTCCATCATTCGTTACATAATATTTCACAGTGAAATTTCTCATCTAAAAATGTATGAATTAGTTAATGGCAGGATGTTTGCACCTCAGGTTGTATAGCTCATATGGTATACAATATGGATACATGTTCATATATTAGCAATGCTGTACAATAAATCAAACACAATATAAAGTGAATTGTGGAATAGAATTTATTAAAAAACAGGTAAGTAAGACTCCTGCATCTAGGAAGACACACAAAGTGCTCTTAAGGAAGAAAGCAAGTTACAGGATCCCTGAGTACACTGATAAAGAAAATATGTTTATGAAGATTATGGTCAATTGCAGAAACCTATGAAAATGTTATGAGGATTTTTTTCATAAATTATTTAGAATGACTAGGAAGTAGATCCTGACATCAGAGTTAATACCCAGACAAACTCCATATCAAGGATGCATGAAGTTGATATATTATCCTCATACAAGGAAGGAAGAGATAGGGGGAAGCCCTTTTCACTCCATTCAGCTGACTCACAAGCTTTTAAACCACAGATGAGTAACTGAAATTCTGGTAGAACATGCTAGTTGTCGGCAAAGTCTAGTAAGTGATTTTGTCCACACAATAGCAAGCTAGTTAACAAATGATGTTGTGTGGGGATGGGGAAACTTTGGTGAAGTGATCAGCAACAGGAAGGCTGGCAGCAGCTGGACACACAGCTAGGGCGACAGCAGGTGGTCTGACAGCAGACAGGGTGGCTACAAGGCTGGCAGCAGCTGGATCCACATTCCTGGGCTTGGCACCCAAGGAGGCAGCAGCACGTGGGGTGGTAGCAGATTCTGTGGCAGTACACAGGAGCACAGCAAGCTGGCTGACAGCAAGGCTGGCCGCAGCTGGACCCACTGAAGGTTTGTCCACAGCTGCTGGACCCACAGCAGGTGGGCTGGCAGCAGGTGGTCACACAAGTAGGCTTGCAGCAGGTGGTCCTACAGCAGGTGGTTTCACTAGTTTGATAGCAAGTTGGGGGGCAGGAGGGCTGGCAGCAGATGGTCTCACAGCAGGTGGGCTGACAGCAGGGTTTGCTGCAACAGGTGGGCTGGCAGCAGGAGGTCACACAAGTAGGTCTGCAGCAGGTGGTCCTGCAACAGGTGGTTTGACAGCAAGCTGGGGGGCAGCAGGGCTTGCAGCAGCTGGACTCACAGCAAGTGGTCCTACAGCAAATGGGCTGACAGCAGGTGGGCTGGCAGCATGGGGAGCAGCACGAGTGGGTCATTGTGTCTGTGGAGGGTGGACTCCTGTTCAGAAGTGAGTTTCTCAGATTCTGCTCACTCCTCCTGTTCTGGGGCTTTTATATCCTGGACCCCCAATGTTGGGACCAATAAGCAGGACTTTCCTGGTTGTTCTTTATGTTATTGTTGTAGTTTTGATAATTGTCATGGAGGAAGTTGCTTTCTTAGTGTTTTATAGAGAGGCCTCTGTAAATAAGTGTTTGATCTTTTCCTTAATTGGGTCTAGTACTTAAGAATCTTTCCTAGAAATGAAAAAGTCAGGAATCATCACCAGCAGCATTTCTGGTCCTGTGACATCATCTGGTCATGGGGAGTTCCTGCTGGCTCTGTGAAGGTCAGAATAGTTCTCCTTTCTCAGCTTTGTTCCTTTGGCTCTAGTTAGACTGGGACCTGCCTCCAAAGGGTCAGGATGCTGATACATTCTGTGATGAATGAAGCCTGATTGAGTTCAAGCCTGATCTCTGACAAAGTCAGAGTTAAGACTTCCACATGTACCTATATATACCTATATGTGGCAACTAGTTTGAAGTGTTTCCCAGTTTTATCAGGGTCATTTGAGTAGTGGATGGTTGGCACATTGTTTTTCAAATGAAAATCAGCACCAAAACTGGAATAGAGGCAAAAACTGAATCCTATTTTCTCAAACAGCATCCCTTCCTTACTGTTTCAGTGCTATTTTCTAGTTTAGGTTAATGACCTCTGGTGAGACATCCCAACTTGCATATACTTTTTTCTATAATTTGTGACAAGCAGGTTAGATAGGAGAATAACAAAGGTATGTTTGAATCTGTAAATTTACATACTCCGACAAATGTTGAATCTCAGCCACAATTTCTTAGAGCTTTTAGGCCCCATTTTCTCTCTTTTAGATGTATATGTTAGAGTATAATTGCCATATAATGGGAAAACATATAGTCAGCAGTAGAAAGGATAAAACAATAATGTAATTCCAATGGCAGAAAAAAGGGAAAAATTTAAAATTTGTGTGGAACTTCAAAATAGCCAATGCAATATTGAGAAAGAAGAACAAAGCTGGAAGCATCTTTTTCCTTGATTCCAAACAGTATTACAAAGCTATATTAAACAAAACTGTATAGATTAGAAAAAACCAGCACCTAGATCAATGGAATAGAGTAAAGAGGCCAGAAATAAGTCCACACATTATATGGCCTACTGATTTATTACAACAGAGCCAAGAATATATTAATGCAATAAGGAAATTGCAATCTCTTAAACAAATAGTGGTGGGAAAACTGGGCAGCCATGTGCCAAAGAATGAAACTGGACTCCTCTCATACACCATCCACAAAAATTAACTCAAAATGGATTAAAGACTTGACATTAGACCTGAGATTATAAAACTCCTGAAAAGGAAAATAGATAGTAAGCTCCTTAACATTGGTCTTAATGCTGACTTTTTGATTTGACACCAAAATAAAGGCAACAGATCTAAAACTGGGAATAATTAAACAGTTTATGCCTAGAAAAGGAAACTATCAACACAATGAAAAGGAAACCTATTGAACTGAGAGAAAATATTTTCAAATCATATTTCATAAAAGATTGATATTCAAAATGCATAACTCAATAGCTCACATGACTCAATAGCAAAAATGAAACAACCTCATTTAAAATGGGCAGAGGTTCTAAAGACATACTTTTCCAAAGAAGACATGCAAATGGCCATCAGATACATGAAAAGGTATTTAATATCACTAATCAACAGGAATGCAAATCAAAACCACAATGAGATATCAGTTCATACCAGTTTTAGCATGGCTACCATAAAAATGTCAAGACATACAAAGATTTAATGAGAATATGAAAAAAAGGGAACCCCTTTCCCTGTTAGTTGAAATGGGAATTGGCACAGCCACTATGAAAAACATTACGGAGATTCCTCAAAAATTAAAATTGGACATGAGGAGAATAGAATATGATCTAAATATTCTACTTCTTGGCATTTATCTGAAGAAAACAAAAACACTGACTCAAAAAGATTTATGCAGCCACACGTTCATTATAGCATTGTTTACACTAGCCAAGACACACGGAAACAACCAAAGTGTCTGTCAATGGATGAACGGATAAAGAAAATATGGAACATATTATATAATGGAATGTTATTCAGTAACAGAGGGATATCTTCCCATTTATGACAATGTGAAAGGACCTTGAGGACATTAAGCTAAATGAAATAAGTTAGAGAGAGACAAATACCATGTGATTTCACTTATATATGGACTCTTAAAAAGAAATTTCTAAAACTGAGCTCATAGATAGAACAGAACAATGGTAGCCAGAGGTGGGAAGTGGGGTGGGTGAAACAGGTAAATGGGATCGAAAGGTACAGGATTCCAGTTATAAAATATGCATGGGGAATGTGATGTACAGCATAATGACCATAGTGAAAAATACTGAAATCTTTTAAAGTTGCTAGAAAAGTGGACTTTAAAAGTTCTCATGGAGACAAGTGTTCAGGGCTGGTGCACTGGGAAGACCCAGGGGGATCGGATGGGGAGGGAGGCAGGAGGGGGGATCGGGATGGGGAACACATGTAAATCCATGGCTGATTCATGTCAATGTATGGCAAAATTCACTACAATATTGTAAAGTAATTAGCCTTCAACTAATAAAAATAAATGAAAAAAAAATTCTCATGCAAGAAAAAAACTTTGTAATTATCAATTGTGACAGATGTTAATGTTAACTAGACTTACTGCAGTGATAACTTTGCAACATCTACGAATATCAAATTATTATGTTGAACACCTATAAACAATATAATGCCGTGTCAATTAAAGCTCAGTTTAAAACAAACAAATAAGGATAGATACACACCAATAGAATTCAGAAGTCTCATATCAGGAGAGTACATGACACCACTGTAGTGAAATATTGAAACATTTTTATTGTTTCTACCACTGTTGACTACCTGCTTTCCCTATGACATGGCAATTACACTCTTACATACCTAACTAAAAGAGAGAAAATAGGATACAAAAAAACTCTAAGAAATTATGGCTGACACATTTGACATTTATTGAAATCTATAAGTCTATAAAGTTATCATCCTATCTACCTATTTGTCACAAATTATAAAAGAAAGTATGTGTAAGTTTGATGTCTCACCGGAGGTGATTGATCCAGCTAAAAATAGTTATGGGACATTCATGAATTGATATCTGAAAACAGGGTACAGCTTTTGCCTCTATTCCATTTTTGGTGCCGAATTGCTAGTGAAGAACAATGTGCCAACATCTTCTACCTAAATGTACCTAATAAAGCTGGGAGACATTTTAGGTCAGTCACTACTGATTTGAAAGACATGTATATAGATACATGTGATCGTCTTGAATCTCAGACTTCATCTGACATCACACTTGGACTTTAGCTAGCTTCATTCATCACAGAATGCATCAGCATCCAGCAAGTCTCAACCTAAGTGAAGTCAAAGGAACAAAGAAAAGATGACTGTTCCGACCCTTGCCAAGGCAGGAAGAACTATCTCATGACCTGATGATGTCACATGACCAGAGATCCTGTTGGGATGATTCCTTATTCTTTTTCCCTTCTGGAAAAGGTTCTTAAGTACTAGTCCTAATTAAAAAGAAGATCAAACACTAATTTACAGAGGCCTCATAACACTAAAGAAATCATTTCCTCTTGGATAATTTCCCATTGACTACAAAAACAACATACACAACAAGGAAAGTCTTGCTTATTGGTCCCAACATTGGGGGTCCAGTGTATAAAAAGCCCCAGAACAGAAGCAGTCATCAGAATCTGAGAAACTCACTTCTAACCAGAAGTCCACACTCCACCAGTGACAAAATGACTCACTCCTGCTGCTCCCCGTGCTGTCAGCCCACCTGCTGTGAGCCCAGCTGCTGCCGGCCTTGCTGCCCCCCAACTTGCTATCAGACTAGTGAAAACACCTGCTGTAGGACCACCTGCTGCAAACCTACATGTGTGACCACCTGCTGTCAGCCCACCTGTGGTGGGTCCAGCTGCTGCCAGCCTTGCTGTCGCCCTGCCTGCTGTCAGACCACCTGCTGCAGGACCACCTGCCTCAAGCCTACGTGTGTGACCACCTGCTGTCAGCCCACCTGCTGTGAGCCCAGCTGCTGCCGGCCTTGCTGTCGCCCTGCCTGCTGTCAGACCACCTGCTGCAGGACCACCTGCCTCAAGCCTACTTGTGTGACCACCTGCTGTCAGCCCACCTGTGGTGGGTCCAGCTGCTGCCGGCCTTGCTGTCTCCCTGCCTGCTGTCAGACCACCTGCTGCAGGACCACCTGCTGCAAGCCCACCTGTGTGACCACCTGCTGTCAGCCCACCTGCTGTGAGCCCAGCTGCTGCCGGCCTTGTTGCCCCCCAACTTGCTATCAGACTACTGAAAACACCTGCTGTAGGACCACCTGCTGCAAACCTACATGTGTGACCACCTGCTGTCAGCCCACCTGTGGTGGGTCCAGCTGCTGCCAGCCTTGCTGTCGCCCTGCCTGCTGTCAGACCACCTGCTGCAGGACCACCTGCCTCAAGCCTACTTGTGTGACCACCTGCTGTCAGCCCACCTGTGGTGGGTCCAGCTGCTGCCGGCCTTGCTGTCGCCCTGCCTGCTGTCAGACCACCTGCTGCAGGACCACCTGCCTCAAGCCTACTTGTGTGACCACCTGCTGCCAGCCCACCTGCTGTGGATCCAGCAGCTGTGGACAAACCTGCAGTGGGTCCAGGTGCTCTCAGCCTTGCTGCCAGCCAGCTTGCTGTGCACCCGTGTACTGCCATAGAACCTGCTACCACCCCACATGCTGCTGCCTGCCTGGGTGCCAAGACCAGAGCTGTGGATCCAGCTGCTGCTAGCCTTGCAGCCGCCCTGTCTGCTGTCAGATCACCTACTGCAGGACCACCTGCTGCTGCCCTAGCTGTGGGTCCAGCTGCTGTCAGCCTTCCTGCTGCTGATCAGCTTGCCAAGGAGCCACTGTCCCTATACAACACCTTCTGCTAATTGACTTGCTACCTGGGGACAAACAAAATCACTTCTTAGACTCTGCTGACAACTGGCATGCTCTACCAGAATTTCAGTTACTCATCTCCTTGCTTAAGAGCTTGTGAATTAGCTTCCTCCAATTGTCTTCCTCTGGTGTCGGAGGACCATGTGCCAACTGCCTGCATCTGTGATAAGGAAGCATGTCTTGGTTTTGACTCTGAAAATAGGATTGACCATCTAGTTCTTCTGAGTAACTTAAGAAAACGAGATCTCAGAATGTTTCTATAGGTTTCTGCAACCTATCATAATCTTTATAATCATATTTTCTCTTTTGCTATCCTCATAGTTCTTGTATCATGCTTTCTCCTTTCATGATCACTTGGAGGTTTACCCATATGTTTCTCAATAAATGGTGTACCACAATTCTTCTATATGTGTTTGATTTATTGCACCACCTTCCTGACATAGAAATTTATATATCATATGCTTTATCCATTATGAGCATCATATTAGCCCCCTTCCTAGTTATTATCTCATTATTAAAAACCCATTTCATTGTGGAGTGTGATTTACCAATAATAAATAGACTCATCCAGGATGAAGTCTTCTGTTCCTGCTCAAGGGCACTTACATTTACATCCCAAGGAACTATTAATAGATGTCTGAACCTCAGTGACTATGTCCTTGGCAAGCTATAGTTGCTGTCATTGTTCATGTGGTTATCTACAGCTGGGCCTGGACGCACCATGAGATACTCCAAGGAAATTATGCTCAGACTATTTCTCCCTGCCCTCTATCTTTTCATGATAATTATCCCTCAGCAATTAGTAACTCCTCTCTCTGCCCACTGGTCTATCTAGATGAGGAGTCCAAAATGACCAGGTGACAGTTTAAACATAGACTATATTCCCTAAAAAATGTGACTTTTATAGTATTAAGCCCTTCAATCCAGGAGAGTATAGATCCATGGGGAGGGGAAGAACAGATTGCCATATATGTCACCATGAGTTAAAGTGAGAGGGTTCACTGCTCCTTCACTTTCTGAAACCATGTATACTACCTTTGTGGATATACATGGTACTACCTATTTGGGAACCACATAGTGGCCATTAGGTCGAAGTATGTACCATATTCAGAAACAACATATCAACCTCGTGTGTTGTCATCTCTAAGTTGGTTCTTACTGCAGTCTACAAGACCATCTAATTTTCCATGAGCCAGCCATCTCTTGATGAAACTGAAAGAGGCTCAATACTCTTGGCTTAAAACTCAGCATTCAGAAAACTAAGATCATGGCATCTGGTCCCATCACTTCATGGCAAATAGATGGGGAAACACTGGACACGCTGAGAGACTATTTTGGGGGGCTCCAAAATCACTGCAGATGGTGACTGCAGCCATGAAATTGAAAGACGCTTGCTCCTTGAAAGAAAAGTTATGACCAACCTAGACAGTATATTAAAAAGCAGAGAATTACTTTGCCAACAAAGGTTCATCTAGTCAAGGCTATGGTTTTTCCAATAGTCATGGATGGATGTGAGAGTTGGACTATAAAGAAAGCTGAGCCCCGAAAAATTGACGCTTTTGAACTCTGGTGTTGTAGAAGACTCTTTAGAGTCCCTTGGACTGCAAGGAGATCCAACCAATCCATCCTAAAGGAAATCAGTCTTGACTATTCATTGAAAGGACTGATGCTGAAGCTGAAACTCCAATACTTCAGCCACATGATGCGAAGAACTGACTCATTTGAAAGGACCCTGAAGCTGGGAAAGATTGAAGGCAGGAGAAGGGGATGACAGAGGATGAGATGGTTGGATGGCATCACCGACTCAATGGACATGAGTTTGAGTAAGCTCCAGGAGTTGGTGATGGACAGGGAAGACCGGTGTGCTGCAGTCCATGCAGTCACAAAGAGTCGGACATGACTGAGTGACTGCACTGAACTAAACTGAACGAGAGAATTCTAATTTTCCATGGGTCAGTTATTTCTGTCATGTGATGTATGGTAGAACAAGTAGATCCCATGTTCGTTTGCCTCTTGTTGATCTTGTTCATCAAAAAGTGGGTCTGTGGGTCCTAAGTTTTACTATTCAGAATCCTATGACAATAATACTGTAAGCTGGTGGATAGTATTGCTGATAGAGATAACAATCCATGTTTATAACATGGAGTCCTAGTAAAGAAGAATTGCTGTCTTTTCCATGCACATGTAGTCTAAGAGGAAAACTAACCTGCCTTCAAGTTAGCTGGCTAGGTTTCCTGAGGGATATTATTCTCTGCTTCTGACCAGCAGCATATACAGCAGGGCCAGCCGTGGTCAGAGTGAGCTTGTGCTGTTGGTTCACACAAACCTTCCTTCCCTGCCACCATGGACTCTGTTCATGTATAAGCATCGATGCACCTAAAGAAAGAGATGGGGTAAGATATCCCAAACTTGCAGCTGTCCAGTGTTTCCTTTGTGGTAAACACTCTGGAGGTCATTGATGTGGGACACAGTGGGAAGCACTTTCTGCCCTCACACCTCCATCTAAACAATTCTTCAAATCCCTTTACTTTCCACTCTTGCTTCTCCCTTGGCTCAGTGCAATCAGTCAGTCCTTTTACCACATACAAATAGGCAAAGAGCATCATTTCCTCAGGGCACATTAAAAAAAAAAAAACATATATATATATATATACATATATATAATGAACATGCGTACTGACTCACTCTTCACTGTGAGTATTTTCTCTTTCCACTACCCTTGCACAGCAGAAGTGTTATCTGTCATAGTCAAAATTCTCCATAAAAGCTTCTCCATTTGGCTTAAAAGCTTCTACTGAAGTTAACAGTTGATGAAATTTAAGATATTGAATGCTCATATATTATGATCAATTTGATTTGGTAGAAATCAAATGGAATTGGGATGGTAATTATTTTAAATACTATTTTTAATTAGAGGATAATTACAATATTGCAATGGTTTCCACCATACATCAACATGAATCAGCTATAAGTATATATATAAAGGAGGAAACAGACAGAGCAGGCTCGATCTTGAAAGCAGGACTCCATCTTGGGCTGGACTGTGGACTTTGAGCTATATGCCCAGTATCTATAGAAATGACATACCAACTGGAAAACCAGACCCCCTGGATGGAAGAGCCCCAGGGTTTGTACCTAGACTCTCCGTCACCTAAAAGAATACCCTAATTATCTGTGTAACCAAATAGAATCATAAATTCTATTATGCTTATTGGGGTATGATCACAGGCCTACTGATAATTGTCCACTGATAACTACGTAGTCTTAAGGCATATGAATCACAGGTTAACTTTTATTGTGTCTTTCTTTTCCTTTGTTCAGACTAGTTTCAGGGAATCTGGGGAGGTGGGTTTGGGCAAGTACAGTTAGGGTACGTACAGTTTTCACAAAAACTGGTCGGGGTCCTTGGCTAAGAGGAGACACTACCTTGGGCCCGCTGGTGTAATAAACTGCACTCCACTGTCTGCATTGTCCTTCTGAGTGAGTTTGTTTCCTGGAACGCGTGGCTGCAACACATACATCCCTTCCTCCTAAGCCACTTTCCCACCTCCTTCTCCATTCCACCCCTCTAGGTCATCACAGAGCACCAGCTTTGGGTTCTGCATCATACTACCAATCTCATCTGTCTATCCACTTTATGGGCTTCCCTGGTGGCTCAGATGGTAAAGAATCTGCCTGCAATGCAAGAGACCTGGGTTCAAACCCTAGGTAGGAAGATTCCCCTGAAAAGGGAATGACTCCAGTGTTCTTGCCTGGAGAATTCCATGAACAGAAGAGCCTGGCGGGCTACAGTTCATGGGGTCTCAAAGAGTCAGACATGGCCCAGTGACTAACACACACACACACACACACACACACACGTTCACTTCGTATATGGTAATGTATATGTTTCGATGCTACTTTCTGGAGTCATGCCACCCTCTCCCTCTTGCACTGTGACCACATATCTGCTCATTATGCCTGTATCTCCTTTGCTGCCCTGCAAATAGGATCATCAGTACCATCTTTCTAAATTCTATATGTACGCATTAATTTGTGATATTTGTCTTTCTCTTTCTGACTTACTTCACTCTTATAATAGGCTCTAAGTTCATCTGCTGCATTAGAATGGATTCAAATGTGTTCCTTTCTACAGCTGAGTAATATTCCATTGTGTATGGAATGTACACAATTATGTAACACAATTTCTTTACCCATTCATCTGTTGGTAGACATCTAGGTTGCTTCCATGTCCTTGCAATTGTAAATTAGTGCTGCAATGAACATTGGGGCAGATGTGTTTTTTTCAATTAAGGTTTCCTGAGGGCATATGCCCAAGCAGCTCAATACC